CTGAGCCGGTGAGATTTGAACCGCTGACCTGCTGATCTAGCAGTAGCCTGCAGTGCTGCATTTAACCACTGCGCCACCTTGGCTCTATTTGTGTACCATACATTTATATATTGTCTTACATATGTGACCTGCCTTCCTTTTACCTGACAGTATTGGGATACATATGGCTAAACAATAAATCTTGAGCCGTGGTGATTTGAGTGCAGTACTGCAGGCTACTTCTGTTGCCTGCAGGCTGCCAGCAGTTTGGCAGTTCGAGTCTCACCAGGCTCAAGGTTTGTGTGTAATGCTTTGTGTTCCTCTGTCCAAATTCAGTTTGAACATCTGGTATTTTTGTCTCCAGAATAACAGAATAGCAGAGTTGGAAGAGAGCTTAGAAATCTTCTAGTCTAACTCCTTGTTCAGGTACAAAACCCTATGCAATTTCTGACAAAGGCATTCCATGTAGGGCTCTATTAAGTTATTCTGCTAGTGTGCGAAATTAAGAATACTATACAATAGTTTGCATACTCTGTTAAGTCTCCTTTCTTTGGTATTCGTATGTGAATTGACTTCCAATATGTCACTGTCTCCATATTTACTGTCACAGCTTTATTAGAATCTTTACATACTAAACAGTGTCATCTTATCTCTTTCAGCATCTGTCCCCTATAGCTTCATAGCTCTTACTCAAATAAGTTTCCAGAGATCACTACAAATGTGGTTGTTATCCCAGACCTTGTGACAGTGTAGTTTCAAAGTCCTCATTAGTCAAGTTTTATGTATCATTCTTTTACGTAGGTGGCTGTTATCTTTTTTATAACTACTGCTTTGGTTGTTGTTTTTTTCACCAATATTACATTGTACCTCTCTAATAGTAATTTAACACCAAAATATCCAGGAAAAGGATCATTTATAGCAGTTTATTCTGCCAATATTTTTAAATCATGTGGCATGAATCCGTGTTTTTAATCTTGATCTTCAGATTTTTTTTTTATCAAAGAGATTATAAAAGATTATCTTAAAAGATGAACTTGAGCCATGCTTTTGTTTTCACAGAAAATGTCTGTCAAGGAGAGATTATTCGTGAATTCATTCGGAAACAACAAGATTCCATCTCTTGTGTCTCCATGGTGAAGGTACCTCGTGTGGAATGTCATGGCACTTGTGGGAACAATCAGTGTTGTGTTGTTCTCCGCAGCAAAAGACGGAAATACGGCTTCCAGTGTGTGGATGGCTCTTCCTTTACAGAAGAGCTAGAGAGACATGTGGAGTGTGGCTGTGCAAAGTGTTTATAAGCTTATGATCAGCCTCTTTGCCCTTTGTATCAAATCTGCTTTCCAACACAGGACCTATTTACTTTTAAGTGAAGAAGAGAATATTAAGTATATTGTAAAATAAGCAAAAAAAAGTTATTTTTATTATGAAAAAGTGACTATTTTCATCTTTTATTATATAAAATCTGACCATTCTGGGTATATGTATCATATATGAGTTATTTTTACTATGGATTTTTTTTTACAGTTGGTAAAAAAAATGGAAAAAATATTCCAAACCTAAACACAGGGATTAAAAAAAAGAGTATAGTTGATAAGCTTTGCACAGTGGCCAGATGTGAAAGGAATTCAAACTGTTTGCCACAGAATTAATGAAACAGGTGTTGAAATGGTCTGGATATATATACATAGTAGGAGCGATACATTCTATGATCATTTGTGCCCAGGATTGCTCAGTTAATAGCCTTCGCTCATGATAATGAAAGCTATATTTGTCACTGTTGTGATTGGCTTGATACCATTGCCAAGCACATGTGCACACACAGACAGACACACAACACACACACACACACACACACACACACACACACTGTGATAACACTGTTCTAGCTTGGGCCTTATGCACAGATGTTTTTATGCACACATTAATGCAATGGTAATAGTAATGTATTTTGTCTTCTGTATATGATTGATTGGCANTTCAGAGACCACCAAGGACACCTCGGTTCATCCCTGAGCTACAAGTATATTAATATACTTGTATGTATTTCGAAATCTGTGCAAATGATTGCTTTTTTCAGCAAACATTTTGATGTGCTATGTGCAAAATGAAAGTGTAGTAAATGATGTCATAAAAGACAAATATCAACCCAATATGTATGCAGTATATTGTTCATTGATATACTGCTGCAATATGTTTATCTAATTTTGTGCCACTATGTCGTTACTTTCAAGTGGAATATAATAGAGTTACTCAAATAATGCACAAAGCATTTTGTAACTTCCTTTGCAGGAATTCCCACATCTACAGGTCTGTCTTCATTGAGGCAGGGGACAGAGAGGACACCAAGTGGTTTTCATGGGTGCATTCATGATGTCCGAATTAATAATGAGCTGCAGGATTTCAAAGAACTACCACATCAGTCAGTAGGAGTCCTTCCTGGTTGCAAATCCTGTAACATCTGTAAGCATGGAATTTGCCGCTCTCTTGAAAAGACAAGTGTGGTCTGTGAGTGCCATCCAGGCTGGACAGGTTCACTGTGTGATCAAGAACTTAACGATCCCTGCCTTGGCAACAAGTAAGTTTTGTTCAGTGTAATGTTCCTTTTAGATAAAAAAGAATGTGTGACAAATGTGGGATGATACAATGTGAAATCCAACAGATATTTTTTCCCTTTTTTCTATAAGGTGCCTTCATGGAAAGTGCATTGCCACCAACTCTGCTTATACATGCAGGTGTATAGAAGGTTATGCAGGTATGCACTGTGATCGAAAAAACGATTCCTCCAGCTCGTGCAGATTTTTAAAATGTAACCACGGACAGTGTAAGATCTCTGCACAAGGGGAACCCTACTGCGAATGTGATCCAAGCTACAGTGGAGAGCGTTGTGATAGAGGTTGGTGTATTTATAATATATGATAGCATGATCTGCTCTGTCCCCTTTACCCATTTACAAAGCAATTCAGAAGCTCTGCAGATGTCTTTCCATTTCAAAGAAAATTCCTATAGCAATAGCAATAGCAGTAGACTTATATACCGCTTCATAGGCCTTTCAGGCCTCTCTAAGCGGTTTACAGAGAGTCAGCATATTGCCCNAGTAGAAGCAGCTGGAACCCACGCCTGCTGTTATCACTGCCAGTTTGCTAAGGGATGCGCACTATGCATCCATGTGCAATACTAAAAAAAACAAGATGGAGGCCCCTACAGCGCCGCTGAGAGAACCGGTTCGTGGGCGTAGCAGACCGAGTTACTACCTGCTCAGCTGAACCGGTAGGAACCCACCTCTGAGCAGCTGCCAGAACCCACCGCTGGTAAAACCTATCACTAAGTTAAACAGGATGAATTCCATTTGCTGACTAGATGAAATTTTCCTTGGGGACTCTAGCAAAGCTACCATGAGTTTCATCAAAGAAATGTGGAAAGGACAAGAAATAATACAGAAACATATATTAAAGAAACCAGCAGAGGGAGTACAGAGATCACCGTAACCCTCTAGTTATGCTACAAGTTAATTACCAGTCTAAACCACTCCTTTTCTTATATAGCATATCTCAGCTACATTCTACTTTTTATAGGAACCAAAAACACAATTTAGAGAGACCTTGTTGATAGTACTATGGCCTGTCATCCCAGCATGTGTACTTAAATTGTAGGGGTACATTTTATTTTTTTTAAAAATCACCTATCAAAATAGAATGTTGGCTAGAGTTCATAAACTCATATCTGCACTCAGATTCATGAAATACCAGATTCATGACGGCTGCACCATAGAAACAAAACACATTGCTAACTTGGTAATACTGTCCTATGCAGTTCTAATCTTTACTAAGAGGGTTAGGAATACAACCTAAATGCTTTTTTCTTTCCTTGAGAAGTCAGGCTGCCTGACTGCCATGAATAGTGGATTCTGCAAGAAAATCAAGCCTTGATACAGAGTTCTGAATGATTTTCTTGAGCCTATCATCAATTATCTGTCATAGCACAGATAATTGGGTTTTTTCGGTGTTTGCAAATGCAAAGACAATCCAGAAATATTGCAGTTATACTTTACTTTTCCAGTAGAGAAGATCATACAACCTGTGGGACATTAAGGCCACATTTGAGGCACCTCTTACATTACAACCATCTCAACTCTATTTTGCCTAGGTATGTAGAAAACTAAGAGTACCATATTTGGGTGGCCCAAATGTAAATGGAAACTTGATGGCAGCAGGAACTTGGAGTTTGCTGTGTATCTTTGCAGCTGTTTAGTACTTATATCAATATGGGGTCTATCCATTCAAAGTTCTGCTTAAAAAAAAGACATATCCACGTAAAGCAGCCTGGTTGTAATTATAAGCAGATACCAAATCCTGAGAAAAATATAACCTTGAAAAAAGCCACAAAACATTTAACTGCATAATTAATCAATCAGAATAGAGCTGGAAGGGACCTTTGAGTTCTTCTAGTCCAACCCCTGCTCAAGCAGGGGACCCTGTACCATTTCACATTTCATACAAGTGCCTGTCCAATCTCTTCTTAAAAATTTCCAGTGATGAAGCATTTACAACTTCTCAAAGCAAACTATTTCACTGTTTAATTGTTCTCCCTGTTTGGAAGTTTCTCCTTAATTCCAGGTTGCTTCTGTCCTCGATTAGTTTTCATCCACTGTTTCTTGCCCTGCTATCTGGTGCTTTGGAAAATAAGTTGACCCCCTTTTCTTTGTGGCAGCCCCTCAAATTCTGGATTACTGCTATCCTGTCACCCTTAATCCCTTAAGGGGTGGGTTTCAATTTTTTTTACTACCAGTTCTGTGGGTGTGGCTTATTTTGTGGGTGTGGCTTGACAAATTTATGTTTCAGATTAGAGATGGGAAATAAAACATGCTGTAAAAAATTTTTAAAAGGCCAAAGAAAGCAGCAACATGAGCTGCGCTGAGCTGAACACAGGAGAGCTGGAGGATCCAAAGAGTGTGTGGTTTTGTTTGCTGCCTATGAGCTCCCGGGGGGGGGGGGGGCAGCAGCCAGGTGAGCAAGCCAGCAATCTGAGCTTGCAGCAAATGAAATTGCTACTTCCTGCCTCCGTGCATCAAAGAGATGGGGAGGCACAATCCCACTTAGGAGGTGGAGGTTGCGAAGCCTCAGGGTTCCCTGAGCAGCCCATGTTGCTTACCTGTGTGTAGGCACTAAGAAGCTGTTGTATGGATGCATATGGTGAAGACAAGGCAGGGCGACTATCAGAGTGAGCCGGTTGGGGGGCGTGGCCAGCAAGCCATCACTACCGGTTTGGTGACCCACACCCAATTACCACTACCGGTTCTTCCGAACCAGTCCAAACCAGGAGCAACCCACCTCTACTCTAGACTAGCCATACCCAGTTCCTGCAACCCTTCTTCATATGTTTTAGTCTACAGGCATTTAATCATCTTAGTTTTTCCAAAGTCTCACCTTTTTTGTAATTGATGACCAAAACTGGATGCAGACTTTCAGGTGCGATCTTACTAAGATTTTATAAACTGGTACTAATACTTCATATGATTTTGATTCTATGCCTCTGTTTACACAACCAAGGGTTGTATTAGTATTTTTGGCTGCTGCCACACACTGTCATTGCCCAATGTTTATTTCATTTTATTAAATTTATAATAAATTTAATAAACAATAATACCAATCCTAAATTACAATTTAAAACCCATACATCTGGAGGAAAATACACCATGCAAAAGTAATGCATAGGAACCACCCCTCACCCAAGGCCTAGGAGAAGAGCCAAATGCAAGCCACAAGAATCTTATGTGAGATTATGACAGAAGTGCTAAAACTGTGAAGTGATACTTTCTAGGCCTCATCAAATGATGATGCTTATTGGAAGGCATCTGGAGTATGCTAAATTTGCCTGAGCATATAAGATGAATAGAAGTAAAAAAAAAAAACCTTACACACACATACATATATATGTGTATTGTTTTACCCTATCTGTAGAATACATATATCATTAAGTATTCATCTGTAAGAGAACTGTGACAGATATCCTCAGAAATTGTTTGTTTGCTTATATCTTTCACATTTCTGAACCAACCTCCTCCCTCAAAGATATTTTCTGCAGAGTATCTTTTGAATTTCTTCAAAATTCAAAGAAAAATAAATCTCTTCTGTAGTCTATTTAATGAAGGATGCTTAATGTCTACTAAAAATAAGGGCCAATGATTTGTCAAGTAATAATTGTATCCTGGATTGAAACTTTAAACATCAGAATTGCTCAATAAGATTTTTTTTTATTAAATGAACCTGTTAGTAATAAACCAGTAATAAGAAAGACAAGTGAATAATGTGGTTTTTTTATTTCTATTTCTATTTATTTATTTATAAAAGCTTCACAAAACATTCAGGCATAATGTGGCTCGTTTGTGGCTTAACACGTTGTAGGAAGCTAGCTTTTATGGTTTATAATTCATGTTTTATGGTATAGCGCATTGAGCAATTTGTTTATTAATCCCTGGTCAAGGAAATCATGACTAAGTCTGGATTGTTAATAAGGCAATACACTGAAAAGTATCTTTTAAATAAGAATTTGCCTTGTCAAGGAGAAGGCTACATTGACTAGCTTGCTGATTTTCCAAGGAAATTTCTAAAATCTAGAAAATCTGACAGATAAAATGATCACACCAATGTCTGGATAAATTTCCCAGTTTTTAACAACCCAAAACGTAATCCAAGATAACACTTTAAATGAAATTAAAATCTAATCTTTAATTGTGGATACAGAAAGGTGTCATGTCATAATGTTGCGCAAGTGTTGATGGTTCCTAGATAGCATTTAATTGGTTTGATTGCTTTTTACCCTTGGCACTGTTCCCAAATGAATGGAGAAAAATATGCATTTTTGTAAGCTACAATTTCATGACCTTTGGCCCTTCAGCTGGAATTCTTGGCAGCACAATTGCTAACTCAGCTTCAGAAGAAGGCTTATCTAAAGAAGTTCAGAAGAAAAGACATGCAGTTCCTATAGGAAATCTCATTTTCTGATCTCACAACGAATAAACCAGTTGTCCTTTCTGAGTTTGCAATTAAATATACAGACTTGGTTACAAAGTCTATTCACTCTCTAACTTGTTTAGTTCTGCATTTGGGGAGAATATCTGCATTTGCCATTTAAGCTGGTATTATCATGTGGTCATGTTGCTTGGCTCTAAGATGGTAGAAGAAAATCCTGTCCTAATTGAGATATTTTGGCAGTCAAAAAAGTTAGAAAACCACATCTTCCCAATGGACAATTGCTCTGCTGCTATCCATCCTGACCTTTCTGGATGTTTCAGGAAGGGAAAGCAATGACCAATCGCTTTCTTATTTTCTTTCTTTCTTTCTTTCTTTCTTTCTNATATATATCAGCATAAATATAACAAATGTAACAAAAAGGCAACAGTAAAAAATATTGGGTTTCTGTCTGGATGGTCTCTTGTGACGAGCCGAAGACAGAGAGTGGAAGTGTGACCTTCCTCCCATATTTGGGCATACCAGGGGTTGTGACTTTAAATATATATATATATGGCATGTCTAATAATATCAGACTGGGATATTGCATCATTTATTTTGGAAGTCTCCTGTTTTGGAAACAGTACTGATGGATTTGGATTTGAAATATTTTTCACACAGTTATGCATTAATAAAAGTTTCCTACAAATTTGGAAAAAAGAGTAAAATAAGACACGGGAGTTTTGTACTGCAGTTTTGAACATATGATATTTTATCCATTAGCAATGCTTGACAACCAGGTATTTAGACTCAGAGTCTCACAATATTAACCGAGATATGTATGTTGTAATAACCATAGCCACTTGTCAGGCACTTATTTATTAGATAGCAGACTGGTGAATCTGTTCTACTACCTTGACTTTCTAGGGCTTTCAACCATTTCTCCTTACTTTTGTTTTTAATCCTGGT